CCCTCAAGACCCGACTAAAACGGGAACTGCTGGCGTCACAGACGGACCGCTGTCCAAAGGCGAGGTGGAAACACTTGTGCAGGAACAACGTGGATTCTGTCTGAAGTCTGGAGCCGTAGCTGTTAGAAAGGAAATGTAATCCTGCAAGTCCAAGAGATACTGGTCGTTTTCTAAGGAGGCTGTCAAACAGGCGAAGACGTGGCAACAACTCTGTTTGTTTTGCATATTTCTTCTCATCAGGGTGGAGTTTTCATTGTCTCTTAAACAGCATCTGTGACAGATGTGAGACAACAAAATGACACACCTCCATTTTAACTGTATTTAAATTATAGCTTGTGATATTCATTTAACTCTCTGAGCACAAAGCATTGTTACTCACTGTAACATTTTTCACTGCAATCTTAAGTCCTGCACCTCTATGGAAACAGAACAACCACGACTAGAAGTATAAAGAACTAAATGTTATAACATACTTGTTAAAGTATAACAAAATGTTCAAGCTAAAACTTTGATTATTCATATCTATATCTTATCTATATACTATTTTACTGCTTACATCTTTAATTTGTTGTCATACTTGTCTTGCTCTGTGTAAACGGGCTGCAGTTCAGCCAAAATTTCTTAAAGTTTTTATCACCTGACTGCTGCTAATCTCAGCTCAATCACTGATAGTTTCATGGTTGCACTAAGAAGACGAATAATCCAACAGTTCTTTCTCTTTTTACAGTGTCTGATAAATGCTGTAATTCTGCTCAATTTTCAGAACCTAGCACGCCTTTTAGAACCCACTGGCAGGTTTTGGGGTTCACGGAGGTAATAATTAAATCTACAAAATGGCCTTAATTTTTTCTAATAGCTCGTTTGGTTCGACAAAATAATCTATTTGCAAAAACACAGAACAGACAGTAAAACAGAAACCCCCTCGTGTTTGAGAGGAAGGATTCTTGCATAATATATCACTTTAATTCTACTATGCAAATGTATTCAGATAGATTAAAACATGTGGTTAGAAATTAGTGTCTTGCTCGAGGACACTGTGATTTAGTTTGTGGATGAGAGATTATTTTAAAACCTCTTCGGCTCAAATGGCTGTAGAGATTCATACACTGTAAAAGTCCATCCATAAAAGGCACAACATGTGAAATCTGGTTAGCATCTCTGTTCTCATCCCTCTTATATTGTGCCTGAAGTGTAATTTACTGCCTGCATCCAGATGTTTGAGGAGAGAACCGATTCATTTGCATTAACTGTGGGTTTGGACGCTCGTTGTCGGATCACCGGGGCTACGTGTGGCGTCAGATGTGAAAACAATGCCTTCCTGTCCTGCCGTCTGTTTCTGTGGATCAGCTTGTCCACGTGAGAGGAGAGGCAGTCGCTGTTGTCGTCGAGGAGAGTTTTTCCGGTGAGCAAATAATGACTTTATCGCCAGAACAAGAGTAGGCGGGAGGCTAGAATATCGACGTCCCTGTTTCACTCGAGGCTCGTCAGTTAATTTTCTCAGTTCTTGCTGCCTTGAGCCAAGATTTCACCTCAGGAGACGCGACTAACTGTGTGGTCTCTGTAAGACTGTGCTCCATTTGATTCGTTCCCTATGCAAACCTTAAGGGAAAGGGATAATCCGTGGGGTTTGTCAGTGGAAGTATGACTATTGATTGGATTTTCGTGAAGTCTCGCACAGACATTCGTGGTCCCCAGAGGATGAAGTCTTCTAACTGGATTTACTTACCACTCACAGGAAGTAAAATGTCTTGGAAACCATTTCAGTTTTTGCCATAAAGTTTAGAATTTATCGTAATTACCTGAACATTTTGGTGATCCTCTTTTGCTTTGCACCAATGACGGGACAGATTTTTCCAACACTGTAGGTTAGAACTAGATGACCATCCAACACCGAGGCCTTGAATGTTTTATGAAAAGCTCTGCCTCTCAGTTGTTGCTTTGCTTATTTTTTTTTGTCTGTTATTCACCTTAGACATAATGCCAACACAACGACTTCTGGCTGATGAGTTGATTAATGACTTTGCTGCAAAACTGCATTTCAAGAAAAGATTAGTTGGTCTGATACGACTAAAGGTTGTACAGAAATCATGCTATCTTCTGATATGTAATTATTATAACAAGCCATATTAATAAAAAATAAAGTATTTGTTACCACTAAATGGAATATAGCCTAAAAAATTAACGTAGACCAACTACAAAAACGCCTTCACATGAAGAGGAGCTTTGAGAACAGACCTTTAATACGAACATCTACACCCCACCTCTAAGGAAGTAACCCATCAGATTTTTATAAAGCATTTATGACTCTCAACATCTCTAAAGATCCCAACAATGCCTCTGGGCTCAATTGTATTTTGTTTTTAGCGCTAATTAGCAGATGCTACCATGCTAAGCTGCACAGATTGACACGATAATCACCAGCATGCAAGCAATGTGATTTTTGTTATTGTGCTGAGGGTTGTTTCTCACAGATTTCTCACAGAATAATAAAAAAATATTTGCCCAGGGTGAAAGCAACTTGCAGCGTTTCTGCAGACTCTGTGGCTCGTCTTCTTCTTCTTGTTCATCGCTTTACTCGTGTCAAGCTGCACACTGTAGCCGTCTGTGGAAATGCTGGATTTAAAAGACCGTTTTATCCAACGCGTTTTATCCACACAGACAAGCTCAGAAAATAGCTTTGAATTGAGGCATAATGGTGAAAAATGGATGTTTTGACCTTCCGCCTCAGGCTTGCTCTGGAATCCCTGAGTGTTACAGAGCAACAGATGGGGCTAAAGTAGCCTGTCGCATGACTTTATACCCGCAGAATGAGATTTCCATTTCATTATTCTATGTATTCTGCAGGAAATAATTGATTTTAAGTATGTTTTAGATTTATTTTGAGATCACTGAGGGGCTGTTTTTAAAGAAAATAAGCAGCGATGTTTGCAGTAAAGCCCGAAATTTCAAGTAAGAACAATAAACTGGAAGCTACAGAGCAGAAAGTCACAGTAAAAAAGAATAAATGACAGTAGTGGTGAAGGATCAGAGCTGACGACTGACAGGTTTTAAAGGGTTGAACTCCTCTAAACGAGGAGAAGATGGGTGAACAGCACGGCTTTTTAGTTCTTGGATTAAAGTTGCAGATTTGAACTCTGCGCTTTCCTGAACAAGACTTCAGGCTTTCATGACGCCGTCAGGGTTCCTGTCATGTTTTACAACCGCGCTGCTTTCAGCTGGAGGTTACGAACTCCTCAGTCATTATAGTGCTCGGCGCAGCACTCGGGTTGACCTCCTCCGACGTTTTAATGGCCTCCTCCAACATGCAAGAGATCCCGAAGCGTGTTTTCTCACATCTGCTACATAGAAGCAAATCTGTCTTGATTCACGGCCAACAGGAAACACATGGTCCATGTTATTGTGGAGAGGACGTGTACAGCGCGCCAGCTGAGGCCGAGCCGCCGCCGCCGCTGCTGCTTTTTCGGAGAAACCGAATGATAATGACTCGACGGACTTATCTGCGGGAGCGGAGGCATTTAGGCCAGACCGAAAACAACCGCCTACTGTAATGTCGACAACGTGAAGAAGCTCAGCGGGAGGAGAATTTATGGTGAACATAAAAACACTGACGGGACGGTGGAGGAAAACACTGGAAAGCACAAGTCGCTGGGAGACGCACAGCGGCGACAGAAACGAGGCAGGAAAAGATGAAAACACGCACAATTTGACAACTGTAGATACTCCGCAATATCGTCGAGACTTTAAGTGTCTGAAATCCAGGGCGTTTTCTTTGCTCCTGTTGCACTTTTACTCACTGTGGGTTCATTTTTCACTGCAACATAAAGTCCAGCACCTCGATGGAAACAGAACAACCATGACTAGACGTACAGAGAACTCCGACATGTCCTTTGTGCAACATAAACCATTATAAAGCCACAAATTTTAAAAGAGAAAAAACGAAATTTGAATTTCTTTCAACCCTTGTTTTTGCAAAAATAGAAGAAACCCAGACTCAACATTTATCTAGATGATCACAGGTGTTACTATAGATAATTTACTACCTGCACTTTTAGTTTACGTCCATACTTGTCTCGTATCTGCATGAATATTTGGATTATCACCGGTTTCTCTTTGGGTTTAACCATCTATTTAACCAACTATAGTCGGGTATCTCGGTTTATTTAATGTTCTGTTAATGAGCTAAACAGCTTTTTTCAGGCGTAAAAAAATGACTTAAAACCAACACACTGATCGAGCCACTGCAGGAAACCTTTAAAAGCAGTAAAATAAAGAAAAAGAAAAGAAAATCAAGTTAATGATGTTTGAAACCAGATTTGACTGGATGTGATTGATTGAGCCGCTGCAGAAAACATCGAAAATTTGCAAAGTGAAGCTCAGATTTCAGTTTCTGAAGAAGTCCAAGTTACGGATGCTTAAAACTGTTCCTCTGAAGGCCTCTAAAGGCTTCCCAGTTGTGCCAAGGAGAGCAGAATTTTGTGCTTTTTACAGAATGTTGTTCAGGTAGACTGTTTATTTTTGGTAAATCCTTTAATGACGAAGTTAGAATAAAGTGATTTTGATGAAATATCATGATTATTAAGCTTAGATTTGGTTAAGTTTCACGGCTGAACGGCACATCGCGTAAGTAGTTTGAGGACCGTCAACGAGAATTTAATATTTTCTCTGATAAATGGTGTCATTTTGACAGTTTTGTAAAATCCATTTCAAACTCGCTGGTAGGTTTGGAGGTTCAGAAGTTAAATATGCAGCCGGCAGTTCAACCGAGTTCAGCTGAAAAGTCCCTAAATTTTTGTCACGTGCCTTTTGGTCGCAGCAGAGTCACTGATGGTCTCTTAGTTGTACTGATTGCAGGTAAAGTCATTCAGAACACCAAAATTGGTAGAACACTCACAGTCTCACAATCAAACCTTCTCCCGGTTCCTAATCAAAGTGTAAATGAACAGAAAGTCCAGGACATTTTTGACAACACTTGACAAACACACAAACAAAGTGCAGTTTACCTGACTTGCCCACCCCCGCTCTGCCAAAGACGGCCAGCTTCACCTCCGGGCTTTTGGCCATGACGGCAGCTGCGACCAGCGAAGCTCGGCGAGCCAATCAGGGAGCTCCGAGGTCAGCCGAACATCCTCTCGCCAGCGCAGGAGGAAATCGGCGTCTGAGGAGACACACAGCGATGCATTTTCAGTGTTGGATGCTGCAGGACATTTCAGCTGCGCCCGCACATACAGGACGTACAGGATTTTCCTTTTTGCAAGAGATATTTCTTGAATCTACTTTTAGCTCGACAACAGATGTTTCTTCCACCGCCGTTTGAGAGTCATAGAAATGTTTCAGTGTCCTTCAGGTAGCACGTGTCAAACTCTAACTGACTGCACTGAAAAGATCAGGAAACCCACAGAGAAATATAACAGTTTGGGTTAATAAAGTACAGTTGTGCAGAGCAAAGGCCTTTAAATCAATAGTAACTGTGACCATGCAACCTTGTGCTGCAAGTGTCTAGACATAACCATGAAGTACAATACCAAGCTAGACCTGTGCTATCAGTTATTTCAGATACTTTGATATTTCCTCATGATGCTGACAAAACTCTCTTTATATGTCGTAGTGTGTCTGACTTAAAGCTCCCATATTGTGCAAGTTTTCAACAAATGAATCAAAGTCTAACACGTCCTCACAAAGATGGTTCAATTCACCATGACTATATAACTCCTGGTTTCAGTGTCTGTAGCTTTAAATGCAGCTGAGGTGGAGCTGTGTACGCCCCCTTCAGGAAGAAAACTCTCCCTGCAGCAGCTGATACAGATGTGAAAGCCCAGGGATTTCTATCGCTTCTAGCTCATGTGTTAGTTGAGTTTGTCAAATGACGTTTTGGTTGTAAAATTAGTAGTTAAGCTGTGGAGCAGCAGCTTGGAAATGAGTCTGGAGTGACCGCTGTTTAACATCCTAATAGACTGCAGTCACTTTTTCATAAATTAGATAAACAGCTTTATGGAGGATTTTAAAATGCAGTATGTGTGAGCACAGAGAGCAGGAGAGAAGCTAACGGACGTAAACATCAGCTGACTTTGGGTTGAAGTGAAGCAAAACAGGCAGCATGAAAACACAGTTAACCCACCCAGTCCTTGTTTATTTCATTTCTATCATCTCTGAGTGTCGCTCAGTTGATCCAAAGCTCTCACCTGTAGGCGTACAGTCAACGCTAATGGGAACGTTTGCTAAAAACTGAGGATTTTCCTATTGTTGTGGCGACAGTAGCTTCAAAAACAAAAGTAGTGCACTGGATCTTCAGTTCCTCTGATGCTGGGAGTGCATGAAGACTCTTGTGTTCACTCTTGCAGCCAACAGCAGCACATTTGGTGAGTTTTGCTCATAGCTGAGACATTTTAGAGTTAGCAGCTGTAGAAAGTAAATAAACCTGTAAGACTCTGAATAAAATTCTGCCTGACTTGTAAAGCTGGGGGCTTGCTGAGTTGAGTGGGAGCTGGAGAAACGGCAGCAAGAAGCATCTTCATAATCTCTCAGCATCTATTTTATACCTCCAAGTTTTTGGTTTTCATTATATGAGGCCGCTATCTTTTCAAGAGGGAGCACATAAATGTGATTTCTAGGACGCAGGCCTGAATAGACAACATGGGAGAAGTCTGTGTCTGTAGCTAAGAGATGATTGGTCTATTTTCATCAAACCGGGCCCAAATTCTGGACACAAGCAATTTTCTATTTTTTTTTTTTCAATTTTGGTATGCTGGCACTGCATGGCTCAGTCTGACAAAGAGACGGAGCACAATGAGGCCATTGTTCATCAGTGGATGACAGTAAGACGACTGAGGGGGGCTTCAGTAGCAGCCAATCAAATAAATTCCTCCGTCTCTCAGTGCTGCAAGCTTCATTTTAAATATACATATATATTTAAAACCGTTTATGGTACTGGCTACTTTTCTCTGCTTCTATTGTAAGGCAATACAGGGAAAAAAAAGCCGTCTGATTTGAGTAATTTCCCTTTAAATATGGCACCATATCAGCTTTTCACTTCATTGAAAGTCCCTGCTGCCTGTCCATAACAAGTATACTTTAAACTTTTAATGCTATCACTGTTATTATTCTGTTTTGTAATCAATGGATGACGGATCCATTTACGTGCTTTGTTTGGAGTATGATGCAGAACTCAAACCTGCCTTAAAAGTAAATTAATTTCAAGGTTAGTTGTCGACGCTTTCTTTCAGGATGACAGTTGTTTCTGTGAAGCTCCTGCTTTAAAAAAAAAGATTAATGACAGAAACTGCTGTTAATTAAAAGTTTCTCAATAGACTGCTGTTATAAACGGGCAAATGGTCTGAAAACTGATAATTTTGTGATTTTTTTGTCATCTTGTGGCACCACTTTGAAGACAATCAAGCATATTTTAGTGTTGTTTCTGGCTACAGTGATGGATAGGAACCTTCACAGAAACATTTCCTCTCAGATCAAACACTCACTCTTCCCTTGCAGCTGCTGTTGTTGTCTGACTACAGAGATTTAATCAGCAGAAGGTGACGAACCTCACACACCTCTGACTGTCCGTCCTCGGGGGAGAACAGATCCAAAGACGACGAATCGATAAAACAACAAACTGAGAGGTATGTAGGACCGAGACAGCGGCGTCGGTCCATTTTCGGGAGTTGTTGACTTCCCTTTTTAAACGGGAGTTTTCATGCACCTGCATGAAAACTGTGAAAGGAAGACGAAGAGAGCAGAAGACGGAGAGAGCTCTGGAGTGTAGAGGAAAGCACACAGAGAGCTGAAATCATCCGCTCAAAGAGAAAACACAACTGCAGCCCGATTAAACAGCCAAGCACAAGTCTGTTTAATAAGAAAACAGCCCTCTGTGAAGCTATCTCGCCTGGTAATTGACTCTAAACTTCTGGCCTGAACACACTCTTGTTTTTCTGCTGGCTTCGGCTCCGACACAAAACAAGCAGACGCCGATGACAGTCTAATTGAAATCTATATCTTTGTTGACTCCAGAGGAATCCTGGGACAGACTGGCTGGAGGTCAGTTCATTTCCAATTAACAGCATTGCCGACGGAGATGATACAACAACAAACAGCGGCCCGACGGGGGGACATGTGTTTATAGAGGGGTCACAGTTCAGAAGCCCTGCAGCTTGTGGACGAGCGGCTGAAGATGAATTCTCATTTTCCGCAAACTGAGCTGCAGAACAACGTGACACACAAGGATCCTGACTTGAATACAGCAGAGATGCACATCAATCTGAGCCAGTGTGCAGACATCTGCAGTGCTAACCAGAAGCCAAAGTGTTGTTATCATGCAGCTGTGAGAGTAAAACATTTTTACTGTGTGTTACACTGCAGAGCTGCTGCTTGACAATCACAGGGCATTGCTCAAGAAAGAAGGGTTGGACTGCACACATACATCAATTTCTCCAAAAGAAGTAATTTTTAAAAAATGTATGTTTATGTCCTCATGACGTTATGCTGTACAGACGGCATTTTTTTTAATCACTCACAATATTAAAAAAAAGAGCCAGATTCTGAAAAAATGTAAAATACTCTGCACCTTTACGAAACCAAGAATCCTTTACTGAGTCCAACAGTCACATGATAGACATTTAAGGACTTTATCAGCTGAACTGCAGTCTTTGTAGAAGTGCCGGTGTTTTCCTAGTGCTGCTAACACCTGTGGACACTCGTAAAAATCTTGTACATATTGATTCTTGTTTTTTTCATATCAGTAGACATAAAAAAACGTAATGTATAATTTACGTCCTTGTAAATATGTCTTGCTGCGGAGAAGATATACGTCTGAGTTCTCTTTGGCATCTAGTCCTGGTTGTGCTGCTTCCATGGAGGTGCAGGACTTTATGTTGCAGTGAAAATGGTAATTATGCATAAATTTAAGTCTTTAAACTGGTTAAATGGGTGCGTTATATAAAACCTTACACTCTTATGGTTGTCATGACCAGAAAAACTAGCTACAGAGACCAAAACTGCTTTGTGTGCTTGGCTGGAAACATGTTTATTTCTGCTGCGAAGTTGAACATTTCACCACGGAGCTCTATGAGGGTTGGAGGCAGTCTCTAGTGGACACTCAAGGAACTGCAGTTTTTGGCATTTCTATGTTGGCTTCGAATTTCTGGAGTTTGCTGCTTGATGGAAACTCATGTAGCTGTTGAAAGATAACAGTAATCCCTAACCTAAACTGTATCGAGCTACACGCTGTAATGAAGCACCAAATAAGCGATTGTAGGCGACACAGAAACATTTTTGCTAATCAAGACGGCTCATTAATATCCTGCTGGAGGCTGTGGGCCTGCAGCTGTTGTGTACGTTGAATCAAATAGAAAAAATCTCTTTGCTCATCTCTCTCTGAAACGAGACGAAGCACATAAAAACTGGAGAAAACTGAAAACAGATCACAGGTTCGGCACACGCTGCCCAGTTAAATAAAAGCTGAAAAATGGGTTTCGGGTGTGTGTGTGTGTGTGTCGGCGCCAGAAACATGTTTGCCAACTTCACACTGGTTGAAGTTATGAGGTGGCAGACTTCCAGTTTTTCTGCTCCTTCATTCCAGACACACACTTATCCGCACAAACACACTCGGGAGTTTAACCTTTTCCCTTTAGCACCAACACACACTTGCCCATACATGGCATCGCTGCGTGGCTCGAGTGGAGGTCCATCATCCGTCTACGTTTCTCGCTCAGGAGGGGTCATCGTGGCAGCCGGCGACGTCTTTAAATATTTGTTTTTTGTCGTTATTAATGTGGACTCCGCCAACCAGACAGTCAAAACAGCGAAAGACATCGTAGCCATGGTGGAATAACATTTGGTTCTGTCCAACCAGTTTGAGGTGTTTGGGGATCTGAGGATGAACTTGCTGCTCTGCTACACGAGATAGTGATTCCTCGGTTTGGTTTGATCTTTAAGTTCTCCAGCACCCAAAGAGTCACATTTAAACAGCTAATCTGGCTCAGTCTAAGTCAAGCTGCAAAGCTCATGAAAGCATCTATTATCTTGTCTTGTTTTGGGTTTTTTCTTGTTCCTGTCACATTTTATTCACTGTGGGCTCATTTTTTACCGCAATATAAAACCCTGCACCTCTATGGAAACCGCACAACCATGGCTAGACGTAGAGAGAACGCTTTAACAATGCCGTTAAACACAGCCTGCAGTTCTGCCGAAAAGCCCCTGAATTTTTGTCATGTCTTCGCAGCTTAGTCACCAGTGGTTTCTTAGTTATGCTGTTTAGTGCATCATTTTCTATTTGTTATAATCTCTAGCTTGTTGAAATGGTTCATTAAACGACATGGCGAGAATGAAGTGATTCTGATGTTAGCTTTGATCTGATAAATGGTGCAATTTTGGAGATTTATTTTTTTAAAGATAACATGCCTTTAAAAATATCCACAGGTGTTTTCATACCAAACACAGTCTGCAGTTCAGCCAAAAAGTCCCTGAATTTTTGTCATGTGACTGCTGCAGCTCAGTCTTTAATGGTTTGATGATTTTGCTGAAGAACACAGAATTCTTTGTTGTTGTTTTTCTACAGAATTTAGTTTGTGCAAACTGTTTGTTTTGGTACATTTTAAATTAGACATGTAGGATCAAGTGATCTTGATGGAATATCATGATTTTAAAGTTTCCTGATCTGATTAGTTTAAGGACTGTCGGAAAGTTGAACATCCTATGATTCCTTCTGTTTCTACAGTTTCTGCCTCTGATTTTTTATTTTTTTTAAAGCGTAATTTTGGCAATTGTTGAAATTCTCTTTAAGGACAACAAACCTTTCACACCTGCTGGCAAGTTTTGGGGTTCAGAGGGTTAAACTTGAACAATCAATGACTCATTTTCAACAATTAATATGAACAAGCTGGTTTTGTTGCCGTTACAGAGAGCCAGGCTTTCCCTCAGTCTTGATGCTAAGCTAAGCTAAGCTAAGCTAAGCTACCCAGGTGCTTGTTTCGTCCATAGACACAACAGTGGTATCAATCTTTTTTATCAACGTCTAACTCTGAAGAACACAAACATGCACACTTGTCAAATCATTCTATTCACATCTGCATTTTAAAGGTTTTGACAATTTACAGTTTGTCCGATGGCGTCCTTTAGACTCGCTCCACGATGCTGAATCTAAACCTGACAAAGATGTTGTCTTTTAAAACATTTATTCACCTCAATCAAACTGTAACTACACGAGTTTAGAGACATGCATTACAAGCATATTTTCTTTTCACTGCGCACTTGTTTGCAGAGGAAAAAATAGATATTTTCACATTTTTCTCAATGCTCAGCACTTTTCTTTTTAGCATTTGCAGAGACAACAACAAGCGTAAACCGCAGCAGCAGCATCCCGCCTAATAGGAGGGAAACTCTGGAGCAGCTTGTAAACACAATATGAATGGAATCAGTTCTTGTTTGTTTTGGTGTCTTCTTCCCACGTTTACCTTTCCTCTCTATCTGCTTTACATCTCACACATATCGCCGCTCGTACGCCGCTGCAGCGATCCCTCGCTCTCCCACGCAGCAGCTGCAGGGAATCACCGGAGACGAGGAAGACTCGACGCGCAGCAGTGTTTCCTCGTTCTCCCGCTCATTTTGCCGTTTACGGCCTCCGCCCACTCCACCCAGCATCCCGAGCACACGCCTCAGTCCTGCCGTGAAGTCTCTGGATCGAGGCGGCCGCTAAACTCAACACATGTGGAGCTTTTCCACTTGAGAACAGGCAGCAGCTTCTATCAACACACTGCCGAGACGAAAACAAATAAAAACGCTGCTCCGGCATCAATCAGAGGCCAAAATAATAACATACAACATGGCTGCGGGATCAGACGGAGACAAAACCAACTCCGCTCCAAGACAAACACCACAGCAGCAGACGGTCATTGATCATTATCAGCTTTATCTCGGCTGCAGACACCGACCCGTCGGGACAAGTTTAGCCGAGCTTAGCACCAGACGTGGAATCACTTGGTTCTTCTGATGGGCATTTACGTGTCCTGTCTTGCTGGGTAGCCGGCTAGCAAAACGCAGAATGTAAATACGGCCTCTTGTTTTGTTTTATTCTGTTGTTTTTCAGACGAATTCACAGAAAAAAAGTGTCTCCGTGAAGCTGTTGGACGACACATGACTGCTTCTGAAATCACAATCAAACCGATATCGAGCTGCTCATCTGACTTTAGGTATGAAAACAAGAATGATTTGATCTGATATTTATGTTTTGATGAACTGTATGAATGCAGAACAGGAGGATGAAGTTTCAAAACCTGTCAACAAATCAACAGAACCGGTATCTAAACATTTAATTTTATATTTGTCAAACTGTGTTATTGTATAATAGAGAAGAACTGGGTGCCTGCTTTTCGTCACTACTCCTTTAAATTGACTTTTACTTCAAAGCCTATAAAAGAGGCAAAAGATAAACAGTAAAGTTAGAGGACAGTACAGTAACATTGCATTACATCACAGTCTGACACTAAACCTGTTTTGCTTTCGGGGAACAAAAAACACTTTTAGCCCGACACAGACGAGATTGACGGACCTGATGGCCTCTGCTGCAGCATCCATAACTCTTCCCCTTCACTCGTGGACCTCTGCTCCACAGGGAATCCGTCCAAACTGTCAAACGAGGCACGTGCGTGTTTTTTTTTCCACCGTGTGCCCAGCTGGCTTTCGCGTCGTTCATACCCTGAGAAACGAATCTGGGTGGTGGTGCTGTGGCTGAGCGAGATTACAGACTTCAGAGCTCCAAACCATGGGAGGAGACCTGCCGCACCGCAGGCTATAGAAAGACGGCAAACCGCAGGGCCTGTCATCAAAATACATACGGCGAAATAGTAGCGCTGCCTCAGCAGGGAGACGACTGGGAAAGAGATTTGTACAATGCCCTGCTCCAGCAGGACAGCTGGATGGTATGTCTGTCAACTGAAAGTCTAAAAAAAAAAAGCTAAATTTCCTGTAAATCTCAAAAACGACACAAATAAAAATGTACTGAAATAGTGATTAGTTACAGTAGATGGTGTTTTTTAGCTCATCAGATGGCTTTCATAGTGCATGAGGGTATACAATAGAAGGGAGGAGACCCCTTGGAGATAACACTCAAAGATAAAACTCCAGGTAATTTCATTATTTCCAAGTTGAGGAGAGTAATTCCTCTAATCATCTGTCAAAAACAAACACTGTAGAGAGGTTGTATTGGACACAGAGGCCTGAAAGTAGAAACTCAATGCAAACAAAACAGCACAGCTCTGATTTCCAATCAACTGCCTGAACTTGGCTCCAAAATAAGCTGAGAACACAAGAACTTGTTTCACTTCAGACTTATAAGCTGTGTCTGTCTGCATGCCTGCATCATGGCCTCACACAGCAAACAGCTAAAAATCCATTGCAGAGGTAATCGGGAGCTACTGAACAGCCCATAGTGCCACTAATCAGGACTGCAGTGGTCGTCTTTCTACAATGACAACTTGCACAATCTAGCCCTGACAGACAAATGATAAGCTGCTTCAGACCTTGGCACAGATCTAATCAATAGTAATCAGATATCTGTTTTTTTGTTTGGACGCCATACAAGAAAAAAAAGCCCTTGACTGCTGTCGGGGGCGAAACTACAACATCAAGCTATGCTAAATTAAACAAAAAGCAGCCAGATTAATATTGGGGGCTCATTGTTTGATCGAATGACACCAAGATCAGATCAGATGAGGTCCAGCATGTTTGTACCACAGTGGATGCCTGGTCCTGACAGTGAAGCACGGAGGTGGAAGTATCATGACACGAGGCTGAATGAGTGCAGGAGATGACATTTATAGATGGCGTCATATCTATCTGCGGATATACCAAAAACACTGGCCTCCCGTTCTGCAGAAGCTTATCGGAAGACGAATATTTCAGCTGGATAACGATCACGCAAGATAAATAACGTGAAGGTCGCTGAATGATGCATTGTAAACAAACGAGCTTTGTTTACATTCAGTTGCCCACTCATGTAAACATCACTCAGCACCACAGGGTGCCTTTAAATTAAAAGAATAAAGTGTTTGTAATGTAAAACGACCACTTCCAGAGCAGTAAGCTACCATGTATACTACATTATGTATGTATTATATGCATTAAGCAGCACTTAGAGTTGCAGCAGCTGTTTACTGTTAGTTAATTGATAAAAATGTGGCTTATTTTTTAAGTTACTGTTGAGCAGCATGAACTGAAAGTAGCTCTGCTGTAGTACAGTAACTTCAGTTATTTAGTGAGCAGTTGCACCTCATTGGAAGCCAAATTCCTGATTCTTGAAACCTAAATGTTGTCTTAGGGTTGCTGTAATTCGCTCTACATGTTCAGCAGTCTTACAGCTCCTCCATCATCTCCTGGTGCGGATTTAAACTCAACAACCAGGAGAGAACAACCAGCGTTTCTGCTGCGATTCCGCCCGTGACCTTCCTCAGGACCCCTCCGAGTCCTTCGGCCTCCAGCTTGGCAGCACCTGAGTGGGTTTGTGCCGGCTGACCCTAAATCCCATTGAGATGTGGGCTGTTATGCAACGCTGGGAGCTGCTCCTGAATGCCAATTACGTCCCTGGAACCCAGGAAGGGGAAGGTGGAGGGAGATCCAGCCGGATGAAACTGCATATTCATGAGAATTACACCCGAGATTCGCTGCTATTTTCACACTTTTATCTTGAATTTGGTCCAATTTAATATCTGACATGACTCACTGGGAGGATGGGTCCAACTTCTAAATTGGGTTTCTCACTTTTATAATAAGAGATTTTATTAAGAGCCTCAGATATTGAGCACCAGCTAGATCATTTAAAGTCATTCCTGGAACATTTCAGTGCTGTAGAAATATTATTTCTTCCCTGCCTGATCTCAGAGGACACACAGAGTATGTCATGACCTTAGTTAAAGGTCTCACTCTGCTAAATCACACCTCAGAGCTGCTGGCCTGAGCAGCTCCACACCTCAGCGTTGCAGCAACGACTCCTGAAGGGAGAAAATCACCGGCAGAAGACTCACCGATGACGGCTGAACGCAGGAAAGATCCCCCGGTGGAGAGATCAGGTGGAGAGGAATGAGGGGGAACAAAGTTGGCAGGTCCGCTGGCTGGGAAAACGATGACCTTCTGGGATGCAGATGCGTCGCACCGCTGGATGGAGGATCCGCAGCTGGACGTGCAGGCGGCGACTGGACCGACGGATCCTGTCCGGGCTCACCGAGCAGCAGCTCCGACTGGGATGAATGAATCCTGAAGGCGGAGGGTCAGCGGGAATATACGGAGCGGAGCTGCTGGAGTTCCCGACACTCTGCTGCCTCTGACCGGCTCCTGCTGCTGCTGCTGCATGCCGCTGCATGAGGCACCGAGGGCGGACAGTGACCCCTAGTGGCGGAACGTGGCAACACAGGCGCCGAGCTCATAAAGGAGTATTCCGTCCATTTGAACATCACTTCATTTAATTGTCAGCTATTAAATTGTATGTCACTGTTATGTTTCTCTTGAAAAATGTACTAATCTTTTACATATTTTTCCTGCTTTACAAAAATATAACTAATATATCATAAAGTCATAGAGAAAAAAAAAATCTTAAATCTTAATGTGATCCGTATAAAAACAAGCCAAAACTGATTTTTTTTTTTTTTAATAGAATTGCACTATTTTCACAGATTTAAATGAACAAAAAATTGCAGATATCTGTAAAATTATCTATATGGAGAATTTTACAAAAATGGTTTTAAAAACTAGCTATTTTACAGAGTTCCAGGTTTTGGTAAAATACAGGTAATATCTGAAAGAAATCACAATGCTTGACTGTAAAATGACATTTTTACTGTATTTAGCAGCAAAAAATAAAGAAATCATTACTTTACAGGTATTTGCCATTAAAGAAAAAAATATTCATATTAGAATTAAAAATTGTGCAATATTTTTTAGGCTGTTATTTTACAGACTTTTTTGTTAAATTACAGATGTGATTCAGTAAAACCACAAGAAATTGTAATAATTTACATGCAAATGTAAAACAACAACAAGGCCAAAACTATTGTTCTTTTATGGTGTGACCATAAAACTACTTTTGTTTTTTTGTATTTAAATCAGCTAGAAATATTATTTTTTAACAGATATTTGCTGTTATTTTAAGTAGTTTTCACAGTTTTTTAAAAGTATTATACTGTATTGTAAAAGAAAAATTCTGCCACCCTTGCTGCCAGACTTTGTCTTAAGAAACAAAAAAAGTTGCAGCGTGTGTTGATCAGGACTGTGACCAACCTAATTATATATATATATATACATTACACAAACATTATTTTGATTTCAGATATTGTACTAGGGGGCCTCTGATGCAGACATTAACCCTCTTAACCTCAAGCAGTTCCTGTTTATTTTTACTCACTGTCGCTCATTTTTCATTGCAATATAAAGTCTCCCAACTGTTTCTCAACTGAATGTCATGTCACAGAAAAGGAGTGCTGGAAACCTAAAAAAAAAAAAGAATCTCTTTAAAATCTGACCATCCGTTCTGTTTTTACAGTTTCTGGCTCTGATACATGGTGTGATTGTGCTGATTTTTTTTTAAGGTAATGTGTGGTGCTGGCTGTGAGGACAAAACCTGGATGGTTTTCTTGGGCAGCTTATCGAGGTGTGTTTGAAAAGTCTATCTACTATTGGAAAAACAACAAAATGCTTATAATCAGACCCATGAATAACTTTTTCTGAGGCATTTCAATGACACCAACTCATGAGGCACCTTGGTGTCGCCAGCAGAGGGTGCTGTTTCCTACATATTACACCAGGAGGGAACTTTGACCATGACACCTGTTAGTGTAGCAGAGCAACAACACTGAGACATGAATTATTTATCTGAACACAAAGCATGATAATGTTCTACAACAAGAGGAGGACACATGTCAGTCATCGAGTTTCTGTCTGAATGGCCCAGTACTACAGCCTTTTTGTTGTTTTAATGCTAATCTGCATCACAAAGTAGATTATTTTGTTCATGAACCACAGTCCAGACTCTAAATATCTAAACAAATATACATTTTTAGTCCTTCAGACGTCACACGGCTGTAAGTGTAACAGACCCAGTGTCGTTTAGAGGATAGGTCTGATCAGATTCAGCCCAATGCATTGAAACTCCTCAGATGGCATTTCATCATTCACCAGACCAATGGTTCCCAACATACAGCCAAAACAACTGAAGAGCTTTCCAAAGTGAAGAGTCGGAAAAGCCCCAACTGGCCTCAATCATCTGATCTCTTCCTGATTAAGCTGCATTCCACTTTTGAAGGTCAGACTAAAGGCGGAGACCCACAATGAGCAACGAGTCTGAAGTAAAGGCCTTGAACTGTCACCAGAGGAGATACAAAGGGTGTTGAAGACTTCAGGAGGTCAATGACTGATGATTTAGTTTGAGACAGGAAACCCCATTTTGGCTGTTTGTATCCACGTTCTCAGTCTTTTGGTGGTTAACCAGAACTGCTGACTGTAGGTGAGGGTTGGAACATAGACCGCCTGGTCCAGTGTAGCAACAAGGTGTTTTCCTTGTGACTATCTCTTGTGAACAAGATCTCAAGATACCTGAACTCCTTTAAATGGGGCAGCAACTTTCCCTCAACCCAAAAGTGAACAACCACCAGTTTCTGGCAGAGAACCTCAACTGGTGCTGACTCTCATCCTGGCTGCCAAATGGCCCAGTGATGAATCCAACAGTCATCCACAAAAAGCAAAGGCAAGACTTAGAGATCCTCAAACCAGACCTCAAACCTGTCAATGAATGTGACAAACAGTATCGGATACAAACTCTGCTGAAAAGGGGGAAGCAACTCGCCTTTGTGTTTAGCTTAGCTTAGCATAAAGGCTGGAAATGGGAGCAACAACTAGCCATTGTGGTTAGCTTAGCTTAGCATAAAGGCTGGAAAGGGGGGAAACAGCTAAACTTTGTGTTAAGCTAAGCTTAGCTTAGCATAAAGGCTGAACATGGAAGTTAAAGCTAGCTATTGTGGTTAGCCTAGATTATCTTAGCATTAAAGCTGGAAATGGGAGCAACACCTAGCTTTTGGGGTTAGCTTAGCTTAGCTTAGCATAAAGGCTGGAAAGGGTAAAACAGCTAAACGTTGTGTTAAGCTTAGCTTAGCATAAAGGCTGAACATGGAAGTTAAAGGTAGCTATTGTGGTTAGCCTAGATTATCTTAGCATTAAAGCTGGAAATGGGAGCAACACCTAGCTTTTGGGGTTAGGTTAGGTTAGCTTAGCATAAAGGCTGGAAAGGGGGGAAACAGCTTGCCTGCTTCTTTCTTAAACTCATTAATTAACATTGAATATATTGTGTTTTTAATCTGTAGAAAGTTTTTGCAATGTTTGTCACATTTATGCTAATTGTATCCCTGTGTTTACAGTCTTTATGCTAAGCTAGGCTAAGCTAAGCCTTTAAACCCCATTACTGTGAGCACAAACACTGCAAAGTTCCCTCAGATCTTTATTGATGGCTGTCGGAGTCACTTATTGTGTTGTCGCTGCCCAGTGATGTGTTGCTGTTGGTGTTTTGGCAGCTCTGGAGGTTGGAGCTGATGCAGCAGCTCCTCCTCTTGTCCTCTGGTTGACCCCACCTCATGTAACCCCAGTAGAAGAAGAAGTGGGAGTCCCCCTCCTTCATCCTGCTGCCTCAGACAAACTACAAACATGTGAAGCTGCAGGAGTGAACTGCAAAGACAGCCACCACTGCTTTCACAGTAAAACCAAGTTTGTGGAGGAAGTTTTGACATCGACACATATTTTATTGTGACAGTATACTATTTATGAAGTTGAACATAATGAACAGTGATACAAGGGCAAAGAAAACATGTACCATCAACAAAAGATAACATAAATGTGCAGACATAATCCTAGAAACAGAGAATAAATGATCAGATAAATAAGAAAATGATG